CGCGCCCTGTCCCAATATTTCTCTATGAAATCGCTAAGTACAATATCTGCTAATAGCGGTGAAAGAGAAAACCCCATGGGAAGCCCATGTTTTTGTTGATAATAATGTTCCCCGAATTGAAAATAAATTAAATTTAAATGTGATTTCCTTATCATATATATTATCAACAGAAAAAAAATTTCGTATTGTGATAATATTACTTCGGTTTCAGTATAGTCTGTTTGGGGTCAAAAGATGAACACAATCAACGAATACCAGTTGGGCATCTTCTCTTGTGAAAGAACATTTGAGAGAATTTTGTGTTCATGATTTATTACATTGAATTAGTTAGTATGGAACATTACGCAGATAAGAAGGAAAGGGAGAATTTTTCAAACGCGCTTGCGTCTGCTGTGAGAGAATTGCTCAGATTTTCTTTGCTGGATGACCAATCTCTCGTTCCATAATCACTGTCGTTGTTATTTGTTCCATATCCAACGTACAACAGCAGCTGACGATGCTCTTGACTTTTGAATATCGTACCATTTCTCATGAGGCATCGCTAGCCCTGTCTATTTTTGGGATATCGCTCTTCTTTTAAATGATACCGAATTAATAACGAGATAGCCCAACTCTGAAATAGGGAGCATCGTCAGGAGAAGACCAATCTATTGATGTCGAGCTTGTTGCAGCCCCGGCTACATCTGTCGGGTGACATTCGTGCCACCTGTCTGGATATTCTGACCAGCCCACTTTGAAGAGAATTGTAAGGACTATCCAATGGTATGTTTTTGAAAAATACGTAATTTTTCATTCTGGCAGAAAACACGATTAAAGGAGTGTTTACAGCACAAAGAGATAGGTAAAAATCATTGTATCGACCAAGTATTTCGACCACTGACGTATGTGGGCATATTTTTCAAAGACAAATTTACAGCTCATGTTGTAGCCCGTGAAATTCTCCATCGAATGACATCTAAAGTAGAGTGGTTAACGCGAATATTATTCATGATTATAAACATGAACTTCGTTGATCGACCGGTTTGCTGAGATGCTACCGAGTATTTCGGCTCTTAGACAACCCAGTTACATTTTCTTGTGACTGTCTTATATATCATTTTGTAGCCCGTGAAATTGCTATTGCATGATATATGAAGTGGAGTGGTTAGCAAGAAAATTAGTCATTATTATAAACATGAACAACGTTGACCCACCTATGCTGAGCTAGTGCCGATACGGGGCCGATTTTGGCTGGTATCATTTCCCGTCCTTTACTCTGGTGATAATTTTTAATAATGTGATCAGTTCAAATGAAGAAATACGTTGGTGATTCCTTTTCCGACTGTTTACAAAGTACAAAGCCATCATTTCTCATCATGTCTTATGTTTTTCTGTCACCCTGCTTACATCTCTATCTTCGGTGATAGTTTTAGATATTGATGTCATAAAAGACATTTTTCTTATACTCATTTGTTTTGTCCAATTTAGGTATAACATTAATGTTATCATCTTCCGCGACCACTTCAAATTCAACAAGTGAGTATACAAAGCAGCATATGACAGCAAGGTTGTTCATTTTTATTGAATAGTCATACTGAGTCAATACGTATAGAAAGTGTAATGACTATTCTCACCACGCCGCATTTATAGATATGCTTCAGTAAACACATAAAAGAGTCTTCTACCACTATAGTGTCTTTATCTCCACTACCTTGGCAAAATACATATCATACACCTTAAACGACAATAAAGCAAAATATGGCTGGCGGACAACTTCATGTAACTGTTATTGAAGCTCGAGGTTTACACGGTGAAGACTTGGGGGGTAAAAACGATCCCTATGTCGAAGTGTTCATTGACAAGCACTACAAACAACGAACAACCACTCAGAGTAACACTGATTTTCCCTCCTGGAACGAAACAATCGTTCTGTAAGTAGTACGAAAGTTGTCTTTTTCCTAAAGCACCTCTAAATCTATCGTAGCCCTGTTCCAAGTGGTCATCACCATCTGCATATCCACGTTTATGATGAGGACATGGTTGGTCATGATTCAATTGGATCAGCTAAAGTTGATTTGAAACCGATCTTTGATGGTGCATCATTCGACGAGTGGGTGAAACTACCTGCACATCTTCACATAACATCGCATGGAGAGGTTCATTTGGCTATTCAATACACTGTAAGTTTGTCAAGATCAGAGCCGATTATGTACATACAGTGAGCTGTACTCTGTTCTAGCCACCAATGTAATCAGCCGCATTAGACAAAAGCAGCTACAGTTTCTAAATATTGTATTGCTTTGAATTCAAATAAAGAAATGATTTGGAGGACGCACTCGAAAGTAGACTGCATGTGACTCGCCTTACAAGCGGCAGAAAGTCTTTCTCTCTTGCCAAGTTAACAACAAGTGACATCTAGTCATGAACGGTCTATTAACTATGTGGTTAAAGCGTGCGCGTTAAACAAAAGTTTCGCCAGTCCATCAAGCATTTCTCTAGTAGGTCATAACAGCCTCGAAAAATATTTTTCTGAAAAGGTGTCCATTCGATTATATACACGGACTATGGCTATGAAAAAAATTGCCTAACAAGCTATTTCGTGCTAGATAAAATTATCATTTTCTATCTTGATAAATTTATTATCTAAATAACAAAATTTATCGTGATTCTGATCACCATATTTTACCCAAAACCCCTATAGGTAAAGAAATCGTTTTTCGTCAGGTTGCTTCTTTGCAGTAGAAATATGAAACTTCCTAATCTGTTAACATAAATAGTCAAAGAAGATGCTGATTGAATGCAGTAATAATACTGTATTGTATTAATAAAGAAGCAAAAAGATAATAGGAGTAATGATGGTATTAGAGTTCAGTCACATTTCAGTCACTTTGACGTTACAGTGCATCAGTAGTGTAGAAGTAGCTGACTGAAAAAGATAATCACAGCTGCTACACAAAAGTTCATATAATCGCAACTAATGTAAGTTATAGAATGTTGAGACTGCATTCCATTAACCAACAAGAATTACAAAAGAGACAGGATTTGGAGATAAATAAGCGTTAGGAACACACAATCACTGATCAAAAGATTGAACTGATATAAAAGATTTCATATCCTTATTTATAAAAATGTCGCAATACATTTTATATAAGTAGACACATTACAGTACTGACGGCTCAAGCTATCTTTTCTGATTCAGCGTTGAAAACTAAACTAGAAAATAGTCTTAGGTCCATTTCATAGGTAAACACTGGTCCTGCATGGACGTCTGAATGAACTGAGAGTAAATTAGGATGAGTCATTTTGTAAACCTATCTAGTTTTCTGTTTGAGAAGATGAAACCTAGTGGCCACCTTGATTCATACAACAAAAGTATAACTCCCGATTTTTGAAATTTCTCTCCATTGCTGAGAAATTTCACTTTTTCTACATCAGGAGAGAAAAAGTCGGCTTGTGTCCGTAATTTTCAATTTTCTCCGACAGAAACTTTCCTTTATGTAATAAACGTGTCATATTCGGCGTTAGCATCGAAAGCCGAGTCGAATGATGTATATTTTGAAAGTTTTCGTTGATTTTCATTTTTTGATGAAATATCTAAAAAAACACAGGTGGCCGAATAGGATAAAACGGCATATCACTCGACTCGGCTTTCAACGCTAACGCCGAATATGATACGTTTATTACATAAAGGAAAGTTTCTGTGGGAGAAAATTGAGAATTACGGACACAAGCCGATTTTTTCTCTCCTGATTTAGAAAAAGTGAAATTTCTCAGCAATGGAGAGAAATTTCAAAAATCGAGTAAAATTTTCAACTATTAAAGCAGGAATTTGATTATATTCGAAAAATGGCTAGTCGAAATGGCTGTCATCCACGATTTGTCGATGCTATAATTAGCGATCAAATAAATAAACTTTATGGAAGCAACCAAAAAAGTACTAATAATTCATCATCGGCAACAATAAAGGGATGCAATTTGTTGAAATACCTTTATCGGGATACACTGTAAAAAATAAAGTGTGTTACTAGGTGTGTAAATCGTCTAAACGGTCACTCGGCATCGTAAAATGTGTACTTTTTCTAGGCGGTCAATCTCAGTGTGTAAGAAGCTAGGTGTGTTAAAAATATTTCTTATTTGCCATTTTTCTTGCGAACTACTACATCAAACGAAAAAATGATTCCAGAGTCACGATCACCGTTCTCGAAAGTACATATGTTATCAGTCCTAGCCAAACCAGATTGAAAAAAAAGCGAAAAAAAAAACATTCCTATATGATAGATTCGAACAACAGATTGATGAATCTGAGGCATTTCCAGTACAGGCAGTTTAGACAACTAAACTGCATTATTGGTCTCATTGTGTAAAGCTAGAAGATCGCTTCTCAGTGTGTATTTTACAAACTTACGCCGTACGTTATAGATGGCTACTGGAAATTGACTTGGCGTTCATTTATGTGTGCCATTTACACACTTTGTTTTTTACAGTGCACGAAGTTATGAATTTTTTAGGTAGTTAAAAACTACAATTATCAATAAAAACATTCAAAGACAGATCTAAAAGTGATATTTAAAACACTAGAGATCACAAAAATTTCCTAATAAATATCGCTTAAGTCCATCCGCCCCGGTTTTACGATGGTTTTCTAGGGTTTTATCGAGGTTTTCTGAAATACTCAGAAGACGAACTGGCGGAAATTGAACAAGTATACCGGTTTGTAGAAAATTGTTTGCACTACAAAATGTGATAGCTTTTCTCGTTCGAAACTATTCTAATTAATCGCTATCAATCAATGAGAACCGGCAACGCTACGATGCTTTTGACCGTTTTTTGTCAGTGTTACCGTTTTTCTTTGATTAATACGGATTAATGAGGCCACCTGGAAGTCCCGATTTTGATGACGATTTCTGAACGGAAAACTGACCCCAAAAATTGTTCGACAGGGTTTGGAACTAGGCGGCTTTTGTAGAGCTACTCGAATAGTATCTAAGATAATAATATCTCGAAAAGTTCACTTGTAGTTTTTATGCAGGCAGCTCACCAAGTTCAAAAGTAGGATTCGGTATACGACTTTCTAGTTCGACATACTTTTGAAATCTGACATGGTCCTTTCAGTTTTTATAATGTTTGACCTTAAAAGAATGTTTCAAAGAATAAAGCATGCATATTCTGATTCAGTTCGTCGAGCTCTATCTAACCGTGTATAAGCCTTACAGAAACAACAAGCTTGCAAATTTTGAATTTCCGGTACCTCATGTTTATTGACTTCTGGGTAATTCCTGACAAGTCTCCCCACTTTATACACGACTGAAAGCTGAGAAGGTTTGACTATATGCGATCCGTAGAGCTACTAAAAGTATGTAAAACCACATAGTTGCCCCAGGAAAAAGTTATTTGGAACGTGGTTTTTCCTCGGCAATAAGTTATGAATCTGGGGGTTTTTCAAGATTTTCTAACCGAATATTCAGAAGCCAAGAGAGAACTTGAAGCGCCCTGTTCGTCATGGCTAGATAGAGCATTGGGAGTTACGCATTTGTCTGCCTAAAATCTAGTTTTTATTTTCAATGTGTGAGAGGATTTTCCCTTAGAGGCCCATTGTTTTGGAGCAAAACTGTACTTTCTGCAACGGTCACAGTGTACCCAAAACAATATGACATCGAACAAAATTTGAAGCTAAATAAAAGCGCTACTGAAATGTGTCTGAATGCTACAAGAACCAGCGGTACGCAATGACGGTGCGAACATACACAGGTAGATAAGAATGACCTTGATTCATGGCTACAGAAGAACGATAAGCACTCTTCTTCTTCTTATTTAGTTTAGCTCATTTATTGTATTGCACTTTTACATTCAAAATGTTGTCCTTTCTTGTCGTTAATCTCTTGTGTTTGTCGACAGTAGTCGATGGAATCGGACCATTTCGTAGAATGTTACCAAAAACAAAGCCAGCTATTCTTGATGAATATGCCGATCCAGAAGAAGCATTGTTTCTCACGCCATATATTGAATCAGGGAATATCGATCAGGCCCGAAAGTTGAGTGTCGTTGAACTTCCGTCGTATCAATATCAATCCTTTTCTGGCTTTTTTACAGTCAATAAGACGTATCAAAGCAATATTTTCTTTTGGTTTTTTCCAGCTCAAAGTAAAAATGTCAGTGCCCCACTTCTAGTCTGGTTGCAAGGTAAGTTTAATACAAACATAAACATGCATTTTTAAAGAGTGTTTCTCGTAGGTGGGCCTGGCGGCTCGTCGCTGTTCGGTTTATTTACAGAACAAGGTCCAATCCTCATAGATCAAAATATGAGTCTTGCACAACGGAACATAACATGGAATTCAAAATATCATTTATTGTACATTGACAATCCAGTCGGAACCGGATTCAGTTTCACCAATAATGATGATGGGTATGTTAAAACTGAAGATGAAGTTGCTAGAGATCTGTACACGATGCTAGTACAATTCTTTCAAATCTATTATGAATATGCCACAAATGGCCATTCTTTAAGGCCGCCCCAGTTTACGGAGTACGAGATAGCCATTCAAAACCGAACAAGTTGAAGGATGTTATCCGTTCCGAATATTTTCAAAAACTGATTTCGCCTAGTTTTCAGACATCACCGCTCGTTAGCTAGTAGCATCTTCAATAGTAATGATATCATGCACTCTCGATTTATGTAAGAGGTGCAAAAATAAGGGATTGATATTTTAGATTTCCCTGAAACAGCTGGAAGTCTTTCCTACTTTTCTTTGGAAACGGGAGTTTTTCAGAAAAATAGAACCAAACATTTACAAAAGGTTTTCGTAGTACAGACTTCGTAACGGTTCGTGCTATATTTTGGCCTTCGAGGTTATCTAACTAGTTGTCTTCGTTATTATTGCTGCCTATTAAACATTAGTAGGTACTGTAAAGATAGATATGAACACTTTGAGAAGTATGAGGATGGGATACGAAAGCTTTTTTCTATTAAACATTTCTTAAGGGTAGATCGGCGTTTCGATGATAGCTGTTCCAAGCTCGCCAAACAGCATAAAGCCAAGTTGCAGCGCGAATGGAGTAGAATCACTAGAGGGACATAATCAATGGTCCACTAACACATGCTACCGAAGAACCTATAGATGTTAGTACTTTTGAGGGTATCGGCCAGTCGGTACTATCTGTGGCACAACATACAAAACCATATCTCAAGTCGTTAAGCTGTCATCACCAAATAGTGTTAAGAATTGTACTGCAGATGCCCCGTCAACCGACGTTTGAGTGACCAACAACAGACACTTTTCAATATGTTTTTTTTCCGAATCAGGAAAATTTAGTGATTGTTCACTTCTGTAATCTGTAACGATTAATACCGATTAATGATGATAAAAATTTGTTTGTTGTATTCGAGACCTTTGGGAGGATGAGGTTTAGTAGCTTTAAGGAATGCACTTTGCTTACTCGTCGGTGTCGCTCAAATGCCGGTCGCTCCAGTGTTAGTCGCTCAAACGTCGGTTAATCCATATGTCCGATCGGTGGCATCTAAAATGAACAGACACGAGAAAATATACTCAAATGTGCATTTTGCTAAGCGATGTCGTTAATAGATGATTCCTAAGTCCGTTCTATGTTACTGGCGAATCATATGCTGGTAAATATGTACCGGCTATCGTATACAAAATTCATTTAGAAAACCCACAGGCAAAGATCAAGATCAATCTAAAGGGAATGGCAATTGGAGAC